CGGGACGGAGTTCCGAGTTCAAGTTCTGCTCCGTGTGTCTGTTTCTAGAATCCTCTGCACGTGCCCCTATGCCGACCCTCTCAGCTCAGGGGAAACAGATAGTTCGGCAAATTCATAAAAGGTACTTTTAGAGGTCAGGGTCAGCTGAACCCAAGGCATTGTGCTGTGACCAGAACAGCTAATAATTTTCAGAACATATAAAGTTGCCTCTTCATTTTCAAGTTCAGAGGGGCAGGGCTTGGGTACTTTATTTATTTATTTATTTATTTATTGGGTACAGTATTTTCGGCTGTCCTGCTGTCAAAGGGAACTACTTTTTAGAAATTATTATTATCGGCCCTAGCTGGCTTGCCTCAGCCCGCAGACTCAAGGGTCCCGGGTTTGATTCCGGCCAAGGGCACATTCCTTGGTTGCAGGCTCAGTCCCCATCCCCAGTATGGGTGTGCAGGAGGCAACCAATCAATATGTCTCTCCCATGTCAGTGTTTTTCTCTCTCTCTCTTTCCCTTCCACTCTGAAAAAGCAATGGAAAAAATATCCTTGAGTGAGAATTTTAAAATAATGTAAATAATGTCAAGAGGGAGAATACCTTGAATTAACATTGTCGTTAATCTAAACTAGGATTGATTTATAGTCAGAAGCCCCCCAGCTGCCTTATCAGTCACCCCAACCACTTTTAGCTAGTAATTTCTATGGGTCTTGTGCAGGGATAGGGACCCTTTTTTCTGCTAAGGACCATTTGGATATTTATAACATCATTCACGGGCCATACAAAATTAACAACTTAAAAATTAGCTATGAAAAATACTCTTAGCTTTATTGAATTTTGAGTCCAGCCTGTAGTTGCTTTGGCAGGGACAGACCAAATGAGTTCTAAGACTTCCCCCACCCCTGGTCTAGTGTGTACTTGAGGTTGTACACACATCTGCCTTTTCCAGCAAGCTGTGCAATCATTTCTATGGCTGTGGGAGTAACGATGTCAGAGGAACATGCACCACAAGGTTAGAGGGTCGGTCAGGTGGAGAGGACATGAAATGACATTAGAAACCTACAGAAGTTAAAGGTGAGTGAGCTGTGGGAGCCAGGAGTAGGTTTGAAGGTGTTTTAGTTAGAACAGCCTGTGCCAAGGCCTGGGGGAATTGAAAGACTTTCCAGATGACTACATTTTGGTATGAGATGGACATGGGAAAGACTGAGAATATTTAAACACAACCAGAAGAGTGGGAGGAGAGGAGTAGCAGAGGCTGAATCTTGAGGAATAAAGGGTCATGAAAGGAGTAATCAGAGTAATTGGGACTTAACCCTGGCTGTGCAGGAAAGTCACCCAGTCACCAATTCTGGAAAGATGGTGGAAGTGGAGATGGTGTAGTTTTTAGTCTACCTGGATTTTCCCATAATCCTCCCCTAAGGTAGTCTAACCCAAAACCCACAGGCAATGTGCACAACACAATCTGGACAAAGTGTCCCCATGAAACTGCAAATACAAGTAGGTGTTATCAACATCTCGATGGGAGGAAGCAGGGTGAACAATAGGAAATCAGATGGGCATGAGACAGGAAAATCCCAAATCCCCAGCAGGTACTCCCTGGAAATCCAAGAACAGCCAGAACAGAGAGAGAGCTGCCTAGAATCTGACTTATAAGTGAGGACAGAGGTTTGCAAGGTCCTGCAGGAGTCTGGGTCTTAAATGTTCTTGAATCTAACAAATGGCTGCTTCTGTCCTAAACAATGTTCCACAATGAAGAGAAACTTTGAGGGAGAATTCAAATTCAGCAGGACAGGAACAATGAGAGAGAGAGAGACGATTCAGATAAAAGGGGGTGCAGTGAACAGAGCCAAGAGGTCTGAGCAAGTTCAAGGTCATTTTCTTAAAGTAGTTCCTAAAACAACAGGGAGCTCTAGAGGGTGAAGCTAGAAATTACATTCAGTTCAGTACTTCCTAAATTTCAGGAAAATTAATTTCACGTAAGATGAGCAGGGGTGAAGTTATATGTATGTATGGTTATTACAAGATAAAAGAGAATACAGAACAGAATACATGTCTTCCGAGAATGAAAGCCTGCCAGAAAGGTGCCCATGAGAGCTGAAACTGCAACCTACTATCTCAAGATGAGTTAAAAGAAATTAGTACGATGATAGGAGATAATAGTTTTCTAATTCCAGGGGAAAGGTGATAGAATTCAGGAAAGAACTATAAATAAAAGATATTTCAGAAATAAAGACTAAACTAGAAGGAACACGAGGGTGAATAAAAACAATAAATATTTATAGAGAAGGTAAAAGTGAGATCAATATTAAAATCTAAAATAAATGAAGGTGATATAAGAGTTCATGAGGACATTTCAGATGTAGAAGATAGGTAAAGCAAAGCCAACATTCATAAAATAGAAGACGATGAATTTAGCAATGCAATAGAACAAATAGTACAAAGTGTCATTGGAGAAAACTTTCTTGAAATGAAAAAGATGATCTACATAGAGAAGGGCATATGGTGGGAGGTGGGGGTGGAAATTGACCCTAAATGACCAACAAAGTAAAACATATTCAAGTGAAAACTATGAGACTTTTTAAAAGAGATCTTTTGTGCATTCCGGTAAAAAAAAAAAAAAAAAAGTTTTTATAAGAAAAAAATAAGATTGTGATTAAAAATTTTTTATAATAATGCTTTATACCAGAAGACAATAAAATAACACCCTTAAGATACTCTATGAAAGACAATAAGCTCTAAGGGTTTTTAAAAATGCATCCACAAGCCATGTACAAAAATGTTGCTAATAGTATTATTTGTATTAGCCCCAACTGGCAAGAACCCAAATGCCCATCAGCAGTAGAATGGACAAACTATTCGTCCAACTGAACACAGCAACGAGAATGAATGAACAGCAGCTCTGTACAATCACATGACTGAATCTCACAAAACACAACATTGGGCTGAAGCAGCCAAACCCAGAAGGATACATATGATATGGTTATGGTTCCATTCACTCACAAAAAGTTTGAAAACAGGCAGAACCAATCGGTGGTGTTCGAAGCCAGAATTATATCCAGTGAGCTGATTCTGTGGGTCCTCTCCTTGATCTGCCGTATTTCCAATGAGTACCGACCACCCGGGCCTTTGGGGTTCTGTAATTCAGGTCAGTCAAATGCCCCCGGGGTGGGAGGGCAGCTACTGACTAAAGGGGCATGAGAAGGATTCTCCAGGGGCCAGCAATGTGTTTGTTTTTCCCTTGATCTGAGTGCTGATCACATAGGAGTTTGTGTACCAATCTGTACACTTAGGTGTGTACCTTTCAAAATGAACGTTAAACTTTAATTAAAATTTACTGCGAACAATAACATGAAATTTACATGAATATACCCATGACCATGCCCCTCCCCAAACCAATTACATCCTGATCTTGGGGGGGGGTGAAGCCTAGGCACTGGTACATTCAATCTCCTTTGGAAATTGTAACGTGACCCTTAGGCTGGGTGAACGTGAAGCTTAACCCCAATCGCGGCATGTGAGCTGTTGTGCAGGTGCTGACCACGCAAAGCCAATTCACCTCTAGAGGGTCTGGTGCCTGCCGAGCTCTCCCTTTGGATATACCGCTTGTCTAGCTAATTAAATCCTGCTCTGTGTTGTCGGAAGCTGTTGTCTGGGCCTCTTGGTAGGGATTCTGGTGCAGGCCACTGTCAGAGGCTGCCTGTAACTCGCCCTGGGCAACCTGTTGGGAGCTACAAAGCGATTCACTGTTTGTGGCTGCTTCTGCTGGGCCTGGATGCACACAGGAAGGACCAAGCTGTGCACCAAGGCCAGCTTTTACCAGCACCAGGCCCAGAGGCAGGTCAGCAAAAGTCCCAGGGCACCCTGAGAGCCACCTCTGCTGGCTGCTTGCTAGGCTCAGTCACTGAAAGAGCCTCTGGCAGTAATTGAGTCGCATGAGGAAATGGGATAGGGAAGGTCACAATGAACCTGGAGCATCTTGTTTTGCCAGAAAGAAAGGAAATGGTCAAAGAATGATGAGGACCTGTCAGAAGAACACAGGCACCGCCTTGAGGGACTCCCTCCCTCTGAGCAGATCTGCTGCAATTTGAGCACCAAAATAAATGGTAACTGGATTATAACTCATTGAATCAAATAAGAATCTATGAGTCCAAGTTGATATAAATAAGTAAATGACTAAATATATAAATAGGAAAGTAAGAAAACCTTCTTATAGTAGAACACCAACAAATGAATATAGAAGGAATGATAGAGTTTGAAAATCACTTGGTAACTGTTATACATACAAGTAACTATCCGGTGCTCCAAAAAATTGTCAAGGTCACGAAACAGACTCTGAGGAACACTTATAAAGGAGACTAAAAAGACACATGATCACTGCCCTAGTTGGAGCATTGTCTGGTATGCCAAAAGGTGGTGGGTTTGATTCCCAGTCAGGGCACATACCGAGGTTGCAGGTTCGATCCCCGGTTGGTGTGCGTACAGGAGACAACCGATTGATGCTTTTCTCTCTCTCTAAAAATCAGTAAAAACATATCCTCAGGTGAGGATTACAAAAAGAAAAAAAGAGACCTGATCACTAAATGCAACTTGTGATCTTAGATTGCATCCTGAACCAGAAAAATAAGTTGCTTTTGCTATAAAGAAAATTATTAGGACAACTGGTGAAACCTGAGTAAGAGCTATACAATAGAAAATAGTTTTCTATCCATTTCAATTCCCTGAATGTGAAAGCTATACTGTTATCACACTGTAAGAGAATGTGCTCATTCTTGGGAAATACACACTGCA